TCCGTTTCGTGCCATTGGAAGAGATGAACAACCGATTAGTTGTGGTCTTATGTAACCTAAAACCGGCTAAAATGCGAGGAATCACTTCCGAGGCGATGGTTATGTGCGCTTCCACTCCAGAGAAGGTCGAGATATTATCGCCACCCGAGGGCTCCCTTCCCGGCGATCGGGTTGTCTTCGATAAATACCCCGGTATTTAAGCCCTAGTTTTACCCATTATTAACGTTTTGTATAAATGTTTTGCTTTTTATGACTTCAGGAACGGCTGATTCGCAATTGAATCCAAAGAAGAAGATTTGGGAACAAATAGCGCCCGACTTGAAGACCGACGGCTCACGAGTGGCCACATATAAAGGCGAACCGTTTAAAGTGGAGTCCAAGGGTTTAGTGACCGCACAAACGTTGGCCAACGTTGCCGTCAAGTGATTGACTTATGTTTTATTATTTATACACTTGTTTTACACAATAATTCAAACAAAAAGACAACTAATTTTTCTAAAACAATAATAATTGCTTTATTTAATGAATTATTAATTAATGATTAAAAAGAATTGTTAAATAAATTTTACTATAAAAAGCTTTTAATATTTTTGCAGACATTTCAAGAATACATATAATATTTTGTATATTTTGTTTCACTATTTCATTGTTGCCTTTGAAGACATGCGAAACCTTAATCTCGTTGACGATAATTACCTAATCTATAATTTTTATGAATTATTTGCTAACAGTTCTTGAAATTAAAATACATTAGTTTAACAAACAATTTAGTACTACAAGTATATCATTAACAAGAAGTAACAGAACATTGAGTGTTCATTGTATGGTATAATGAATTGAATTTTTTCATTCATGACATCAATAATAATAAAATAGACATAAAATTTATTACATTATGGATTAAGTTTCAGACCAAATAATAACACACACTGTCTCTCAATTCAAGCCTCTCTTGTCATGAATTATATACACAGACTATATATGAAAATGTTTTATCGAAAATTCTTTCGCTTTATTTTTCCTAATCTCTGCCAAAGTTTATCAACATTTTAATCACTCTTTATGTTGTGTTACGTGAAAAACGGTTAATATTTTGAATCCCATAGTAAATAGACTTGTTTTCTATTACTTAACTTATCATTTCGAGAAGTCATTGACTAATTCCCAGAGAATGTAATATCTATTTCCTGTTTCTTACTCTCCAATAGATAGGGAAAAATTAGTTTCCAATAATTTGTTATAATATGTAATACTAAATAGAAAACATTTTTAAAATAATTAATAGTGAAAACTGTGAAAATTGATTGTTTGAAAGCTACCCTTGAGAGCAGACCTGTGTTTAGTGTTTAACAAATTACTCTAACAAATAGGTTTTCACCTGAAAAATGGGTCAACACTTTGAAACACCTCAACAAAAAATTCTTTGAAGTGTTTTTTCAATTCTCTTTGGTTTTGCTTTTCTTTCAATATCGTTAATATACTGGTTATAAATGGTTTAGTCTTTTTAATTAGCATTTATTATAAGAGATTGTCATTACGTTTGCTTTTTTTCTTGCCCTCTGAAAGTCACAGAAAATTATCTATTTTTTCTGCATTGACTTTGAGGCACACAAATGGCATAAAATATTTTTATTTCTATTTTGATTTGATTTATAATGAAATGCCGATCAGTTTGTGAATACTAATTATAATTACACATCAAATAAGGCTTTCTGTTGTCTCTTTCTCTTCTATCGCTATCTTTTCGTTGTATCCAAACATTTATTATACACTTTTTGACATTAACTAAGCTCTGGCTTCAAGAGATGCCCTACGCTTTGAATGTAAATCAAAGCACAGTTTTTAGTATGGATTTAGAGTTAGCACTCGATTTGGTAAACGATTATTTAATTTTATAAATAAATTCATTTATTAATAACTATTTTTGACTACTAATTAGAGTAACGTTTAATGAGTGAAATGAACTCAAGAATTAATTTTGTTTTTAATGAATGTCTGAAAATGTATGTCTATATCTATAGGCGAAACAGAGGGCATCGGTTTTATGGCTTCTGTCCAAAGCGTACAACAATGAGATACCGTCTGATCTGAGGGAACCCTTCTATAAGGATCACGACGAGAATGACAGACTTAAGCCACAAATCACACAGTCGTTGGCCAGCGCTGAGCTCTACTGTCTGGCGTTGGCCAACATCTACTCGGACCCCAACTATCACTGTCTCAATCACTACGGAATTATGCAAATCCTTCAGCGAAAAGGGGTTTATATGGTTGAGCCCAACGACGCCTCACTCACCGAAACGGTGCTCATACAGAACGCTCCCATCAAAATGGTATGCATTTCTCATCTCATTCCTCATCTTAATTGCAATCTCTTGTGATATATGATATCGTGTCTGAGTTTAGAGTTTGTTTTGTTTTGAGAAACTCTTGGTTTTAATTACTAGTGATTTTGTTTTTGACTAATATTTTGTGTTTTGCTTTTGTGTTGGTATAGAGCGCTCATATGGTTATAATCGAAGCCATAATGACTTTATATATAAAAGAGGTTCTGATACCGGAAAAGGTGGCGGAAGTGGTTTCGAGGTTCTCCTACATCGAAGAGGACGAGATTCCCGACGACTTGGAAGAAGTGGCCATATTTTGGATCAATAAATGTTGCGTTCGCTTAAAGCAAGTGATGCAAAGAGAGCTGAACGCCGATGAGAGCACTCGCGATGAGCCGACCCCTACTCTGCCAATGTTGGAAGAGTTGACTGACTTGAGTGACGGGTGCTGTTTGGCAGCACTACTTAGCTTTTACTGTCCCGATCACCTCAAATGGCAAGAGATTGCACTCAACAAAGACATGTCTTTGGCTGACTCTATATATAACCTACAATTGGTTCAGTTCTTCTGTGAGGAGAAGCTTCCATTCAACTGTTGTTTCTTAACGTTAGAGGACTTCCTATACCTTCACGAGACTATTCAGACCAATGTATTGGCGTTTATCGCGGATCTGCTCTTCTTTTTTGAGATAAGACCCGCAGAGTGTGTCCGACAGCCGGACACCCAGTCATGCGGTGATGAGATTGACGGCGAGATTAATAACGGCTTATATTATCCCGATTTGCCGACACCGGCGGAAATGAAGGCCAAATCATTGCAACACTCTTCGTGGGCGGACGAACAGCACATCGTTATAGAGCAGCAAACGAATGGTTCGCCCCCTCAACGACCCCCACGCAGATCCATCTCTAGTGCAAAGCTCGCCAATCGTCACAAAAGTGTGTCTTCACAGCAGCCCTCCGACGAAGACGAAGAGCTGACCCGTTATTTCTCAAATACCGACTTCAGAGGAGACAACGAGGCGTCGCCTGAGATACTGATGATCAACGAGAGGAATGCCGTCAAAACGGGTCCCAAATATATTAATTCCTTCGCAGACAATAATAATCGGAGAAATATAGACGACAACAACGATGTGATTCTGTCGACGTCTCCTCACAAACAGTCAAACAATAATTCAAATCATGAAATGAGTGATAAGTCTTCGTCTCAATTGACTAATTACTTCTCACAATTAGCGCAAACCAATGCCAGTGGGACCACCACTCGGCGGCCAAGTGTTCCCAATTGCCGCAAACCCGTTCAATCTAATCAACAAAACTTAATGAACTCATCCATTGTGTTGGGAACCGATTCGCCGCCGTTGCCGGTGATACACAATTCGAGCACGAGTTACGGTTATAAGAGTAATTCATCACAAATGTCATCACAGACTCAGCCATTGGCTCCCGAAACGGAACCGGTTATAAACATTGCATATACGCATAAAAGTGACAAAACATCCATTAGTAGTAATAATAGTAGCAATTATTTGCCACCGGCTTCGCAGTCGAGCCAATCGTTATCATCAAAACCCATAGCAAACACATCAACAAATAGTAATACATTTAAATTAAATGCATCACAAAAACAGAATTCAGTGCAAAATATAGCGACCGTAGCGTCGGATCAGCCCTTTTACTTACAACAAGACGAAGACACCAGAAGTCTCGTAATGGGTTACAATTCGAGACCAAATTTGTCGCAAATAAGTAAAAGCGATTCAATCGACTCGTTATTAGAAGAAAACGATGACTTATCCAGAGATGACGGCAATTCTGTCGACTCGGAGATCGCCTCTCAGGTCCATAACATACGGATGAAACTCGAAGAGAAGCGCCGGAAGATTGAACACGAGAGGCAAACGGCCGCAGAGGAGTGGAGATCCAGTCGGCAGAACATCGGCAAAGAGGCGTTTCTTAAGGTTATCCACAAGAATGGTAGCCAAGAAATACCCACTCAAGAGATGCCCAATCAGTTGCCCAATCAGATGATGCCTCAAATGGTACCACAAATGATGCCACAGATGGTGCCCAACAATCATATGATGGCTCAACACAACACTCAAGAGCTTATGAATCATCAAATGCTTAACCACCAGATGATGGCACCAGAAGTGATGAGCCATCAAATGCACGGCCAACCCATGGTTATGACCAACCATTCAATGATAGCACCAGAATATATGAATCAACGATTAATGGCTCATCAGATGATGAACGCACCGCAAGTAATGCATCACCAGTTAGTTAATCATCAAATGATGGCAAACGCACCACAAGTTATGTCGCATCAAATGATGGCACAAAATCCCAATACGTATTATCACATGAATTCTCAGCCGACAAATATGGCCGGCGTTTCTATTCCTCCGCAACAAGTGTTCGAAGAATACGATCGACAACAGCAACAGATGTACTCCTCTTCGCCCACATCTAAGCCACTGATTGGCCGAACGTTTCGCGTAATGAAACCAAAAGTGATGTCACCAGACGTTTCTGAACACAACTCTCCGACCCGTTCTGCCAGTGAATACTCAGACGAAGGTTTCAATAATTATGAGAAGAGCGCTAAGAGTTCTTCGAGCGGTTCCACCACTAAAGAGGACACGACTGGCGCGGAGAACATGAAAGACGCGTTCTTTATATCGTTTGATAACGAAGTCAAACCGAAAGCACCAAAACCTGGACTCAAACCAAAACATGTCAAACAACAGCAACAGATGAGACGAGAGCTTAATAAACAGTTGACAGCGAATAACGTGTCGCAAGAGTCGCAGAATCAGTCATCCAATCTGTTTCCCAACGGTTCCGCGAATGTGACACCCGTTCCGCCGATGCAATCGCCGGTCAATTCGGTGTCGCCAGGCGTCGGGTTCGTGATCGGCGCTGATTTAGTACATCCAGACCTAAGCAGTGAACTAGAAATGGCCAAAAAGAAGGAGACAATTATGTTGCAGTCATTGAAACGGAGGGAACGACTGGAGGCCGAGAGGACCAAAAAGGAGAGAGATTTGGCCCAAAAGCGTGAAGACGACAGAATCAGACGCGAGAACTCCGAACGCAAACGAGAGGACGAGAGGGTTAAGCGACAGATTATTCTCGAACAGTACAGACACAGGAAAGCGGCCGAAGAGATGGAGAAAAACGGCGGTTCCCTCTCATCGAAAGACTCTGTGCGCAGCAGTAGTACACTTGTGCTAAACAGACCGTCGCGTCAACGCCTCTTCCAGAAGCCTCGGCCCAAATCACTGCACGTGACCGCAGCCAACATTCAGGACTACTCGTCGCTCGACTGCAACAAATCGCGGATATCAGTCGACGACACCGACGCCTGTGCTCTCCTCTCCGCCAACTCAAACCTGTCCCGACCGGAGAGCGCGATGTCCGGCCACTCGAAGAGCTCCGCGTTCGTCACGTCGCCCACCGGTCACGGCTCACACGTCCCGCCATTCATGTACTCCCGGTTTAGAGGGCCTCCGAGTGACGGCGCGTCCGACGCCGGCTCCGTCTACACGGAATACACGGGACCTAAACTGTTCGTAAAGCCGAGTCAAAAGTCTAATAAAATTTTAATATTGAATGCAATTAACGTTGTATTGGCCGGTGCTGTCAATAATGACACCAAGAAGAAAGTCTTAGAGGTTTGTATTGATTGCAATTTGTTTATACATTTAATTTGTTTAAATTTTAATTGTTTTTTGTGTTTGTTTTACAGCAAATTAATTCTTCCGATAGTAAACACTATTTAATACTATTTCGAAATGCGGGCCTTCAGTTCAGAGCCGTCTATACATATAATCCCGACCGCGAAGAAGTGGTCAAACTGTACGGAACGGGTCCTAAAAGTGTGACAAACGAAGTGATCGAACGGTTCTATAAGTATGTTATTATTGTTTTGCTTCTCCTATCAGTGTTTCGATGGAAAGTACGTGTGTTTTCGATGTGACCCTAATTTGCATTATCTCTCACAACAGATACAACTCCGGGAGTAAGAGTTTCGCTGAAATACAAACCAAACATTTAAGCGTAACAATCGATGCCTTCATTATTCACAATAACTTATGGACCGGAAAGAGAGTAATACCTAAACGCGAGTTATTATAGTATACATACATTAGAGGAGATTTTGTAAATGAAATGAAATTTATATTTAAATTTAGTTTTGTTATAAATGAAGAAAAAAGTGATAATGGACCGGAAAGAGAGTAATACCTAAACGCGAGTTATTATAGTATACATACATTAGAGGAGATTTTGTAAATGAAATGAAATTTATATTTAAATTTAGTTTTGTTATAAATGTTCTTTTTTCACTAATTGTAAATTTAACAATATTGTTTGTTTATCAAATATAATGGTCAGCAAGACAACACATTAAAAAAAAATAACTTAACTTAAAGAAAATGATGAATAATATGTGATTAACTACAAAAATAGCAACAATTTTTCGGTTGAATTGTTTTTATATAACGTCTTCAGTGAAAATAATTGCAGCAAATTATCGATTAATACCTAAAAAGCTTAACAAAAACAATACATATTTAACACAAATCCTAATACATTCCACTGCTTTAAAGACTCAATTTTTTCGGTGAAAATCAGTATAATTTGGATGAAATATAAAGTGAAACTAAATGTGTGCCTAAAAACTGAATAATGCTTTTCTGCATTGAAATGATGTGATGCTTAATATTATTTAATATATTATAAATATTATCGATAACTTATAGTTAATTAATTGTATTAATTCTTCTCCCTTTTCTCTTAAAACATCGCTAATTATATACATATTATTATAAATACATTGAAATTATATAAAACATAAGATTTATAATAATTTTAAATAATATTTTTCCGTTTAAAACGCCTTTTATATGAAATTGTTTTTTTAAATTGATTTTTCTTTGCTTTAATTCTGAATCTAATCGCTATTTTGAAAACTTTGTGCCATTGAATCCCATTCACAAACAAATCACAAACACATCTGTTTTTCTCATTTTATTAAAAGTTAAAATTCGTTTATAATAAAAGCTTTTTATAGTAAAATTTATTTAACAATTCTTTTTAATCATTAATTAATAATTCATTAAATAAAGCAATTATTATTGTTTTAGAAAAATTAGTTGTCTTTTTGTTTGAATTATTGTGTAAAATAAGTGTATAAATAATAAAACATAAGTCAATCACTTGACGGCAACGTTGGCCAACGTTTGTGCGGTCACTAAACCCTTGGACTCCACTTTAAACGGTTCGCCCTTATATGTGGCCACACGTGAGCCGTCGGTCTTCAAGTCGGGCGCTATTTGTTCCCAAATCTTCTTCTTTGGATTCAATTGCGAATCAGCCGTTCCTGAAGTCATAAAAGCAAAACATTTATACAAAACGTTACAATAATGGGTAAAACTAGGGCTTAAATACCGGGGTATTTATCGAAGAGAACCCGATCGCCGGGAAGGGAGCCCTCGGGTGGCGATAATATCTCATGGAAGAGACCTCACCTTCGCGTGTATTGGTAGCGGAGCCTTCACTAAGGAGCGTAAAATCGGCCAAAATCCAATGTATTCTGGTGTTGATTAGCCAACAAGTAGAGAAGGTTACCGTGCTTTGCCTCTAAACCGGAGACCACTGTCCGCGGCTTCTCTTCGCCGCAATCAATGTCTTCGACGTATAGGGAGTCGGCGTCGGGATGTCGTTTGGCCGCCACAATACGGCCGACCCTTAGATCGAGTCGCGACACATCCAACGGCTTGTCGTCGTCGGCGTTCGCTTTGGTTGCGTTCACTTTCGGCTCTTTCTTCGGCTTCTCTTTCTTCTGTGCCTTTTGTTGGACAGCCGTGTCTTCGGAAGTCCTCTCAACGCTCGAGTCGTCGGTCACACCATTTGGCGTCGAAGTGAAGACAATCGCCGAATTCGGGTCCCGTTTGGCCTCCAATTGGTTCAAAGCGCTGACCAAACGACTCACTTCGCTCTTCAGCATCTGGTTCTCCTTCTGGAGCCGCTGTTTCTCGGTTTGGATCTCCTCTGTGGTCAACACATGTTTGGCACTCTTGGTGTCAATGGATCGCTCTTTGAGAGCAATCTTTTGCTCCAAGTCTTGGATTTTAGACAATATCTTCGTGTGATTCGTATTGATCTCATCGATAATCTTCTCCATTGATGTCATTATCTTATATTTACCGCGGATTTCGATCAATGGTTTTCTCGCAAATGTCTTCAAAACAAATGATAATAAATAAAGTTTTGGCCGAAAAGCGATTGCATTCACGAAAAACATTTCTATTCATAAATTACGTGACGATATATTTGAGGGGTTTTAATCAATGGTTTTCTCGCAAATGTCTTCAAAACAAATGATAATAAATAAAGTTTTGGCCGAAAAGCGATTGCATTCACGAAAAACATTTCTATTCATAAATTACGTGACGATATATTTGAGGGGTTTTTAGTGTTTCGCTCAATATTTTGCATCGAATTTATACTAAAATTAATCAATAATTGCAAATGTGGTCAATATGTCTGTCATGTTATTTATGGTTAGACCCAAACATGTGGTCAACTCATCGATGATTCAATCAAATATTTCCGTCAATTAATAATTTAACAATTTTTCCAAAAATTGATTTTCAATTTAGAGTTCATTTGCCAGCGATTGGAGACATTGTATGGCATTTGTGTCAACCCTTTCACACCAATGCAGCCAAACATAAGGAGTCAGTCATTATTAGGCAATCCGTTAGTCATTAAATGACTTACATTTACTGTTAGCACAAAAGGGTTCGCATTACAGCTCAACACAGGCCTCGATTCAGACCCTTTTATCACTACACGTATAATACATTCAATGCCATACAGTCTGTCACCGCTTTTAGTCGTTCAATCAAATCATTAATTATTCACTTTTAGTACATCTATGAGTAAAACACTATATCTTTGCACTAAACAGTGTATCAAATAGTTGTGTCTTTGACTCAATAGCGAAGTACACTATAAACGTGTTTATCATGCGATGTATTGGCGAATAGAAAGCGCGCCTCAAAGCGAGTATTGACTGTATTGTGTGATTGACGTCACGATTGAAGTGCGGAAACGGAAGGCGAGTATCGATTGAGTCGAGGATTGCATTCATTTT